AACAAAAGTCACTGTATTGACAACAGCTATTGGCCTTACTAATGAAAGATATTATATCACACAACATGCAAGTTTACGACAGTTAGAATGTAGCTTAATGCTGCCTGTAAATGTCCAAAGCACTGCAAAACGTGTGACGTACTGTATCTCAAATGACAAAGTGCAATGTGGACCCAAGGACGTTATACCGGAGACACTATAACTTCTTTCGTGGGACTAATTGTTTGAAGTCTAGAAATTTAAGGTATGACAATACTGTGTAATTAGAAGCAGTGCAAGCTTTAGTGACTGGACGAGTGGATTATAGAATATAAATGTATTAGCCTGGGTGCCATCCAATTTGCAAAGGATACGTTACAAATCAGAGAAGTGTAGGCATGTGTGTGTTGCTGAATAAATAAACTATACTCACAAGTGTGCCCACTGTCTTCTCTCACTGCTTTGTTGTCTTCATTTCCTTCTGTATCTTCAAGTCAACTGGTTTGCTGAGCCGTCATTGCAGGTTTCTCCCAGACTGGACAGCCGACCCTCAGGACACACCTAACAATACGAAAGGATAGTGAGTGTGATGGAAAAACATCCCCAGGCAACACTGAATAACCATAACTAATGATAACATAATGCAATTCAACTATCCCATTGATTGAATAGATTTTGAAAGAGTTATGCTCTAGAAAACTGCTTTCAAAAGTGTTACAAATGTGAAATGTACTTGTAGCATGTTAAACCTCAGAGTTCTTGATGTGAGGAAAGGAATAAGTCATGTATGTTGTTAAGCAATTGCAAGTTGCTTGAATCAATGTACAAAAAGTTAGGCTTTTTGAAAAAGTGTTACTGGTAGCATGTTATGCCACAGTTCTTAATACATCCAAGAGGAAAGGAAAAATTTGATATGTAAGTTGTGAAGTATTGTCTCACCTGGAAAGGTACAAACTCTTCACTGTGTCTTCAAGTCAATTCACTGGTTAACTGTCAGTCCTTCAGTAATATGGTCTGGTTTGCACAGAAGTCAACCGTCATCACAGGTTTCTCCCAGTCAGGACAGAACGTCAGGACACACATAACTACCTAAGTGTATATGAAACAATAATAAGTATTATGCAAAACATCTTAAATAAACTGACTTAAAAGATTTATAACTTAAGAATTTGATCATTCATATCTTTGCTTGAACAGATGTGGAAAGTGTTTGGCTAAGGAAAATGTTTTACACATGCCTCAGGGTTCTCAACAAATCAGAAAAAAGGTTCTAAATCGAAAGGCATTGTCTCATCTGTAAAAGCTACACTTACAAATATAATGTGAAAGATGTTTTGTTACATGTGTGTTATTTATATAAAGTGTAAGACATAAGAGAAGAGTTCTATAGTCAAATTAACAGATCTTCTAAAGCATTGTCTCACCTGTGGATGATGTTGTGGTCATCTTGCTCTTGTGTCTCTAAAGCACCTGATCTGGTTCAATCTTCTTGTCAGGTTCAGACAGGAGTCCCCACTTCTGCATTAGTCAGCACTCACCTAATAACAGACATTAGATGTTATGTCTTTTACAAATGAAGTAAATAATAGGTAGAATGCAGAATTAAGATTTTTCTCACCTGATTGTCATCTCATGTCTTCAAATCACCTGCTCTTGTCAGGTTTACAAAGAATTCACCACTACTTGTGCAGTCAGCAGCCACCTAACGTAACACAGACATAAGTTACTACACACTTGTCTCTAATAACATCAAAAGTGGTAGGTAAAATGCAGAATTGGGATTTTGTCAGCTGATATTTCTCTTGGATCTTCAAAATCATCTGGTCTGGTCCAATCTGTCTTGTCAGGTTAAGACAGGAGTCCCCACTACTGCATCAGTCAGCAGCCACCTAACTATACAGACATTAGAAGTTACACACTTGTCTCAAATAACACCAAATAGCTGTAGGTAAAATGCAAAATTGGGCTTTTTCTCACCAGATTTTCCTCTTACGTTATTAAATCATCTGGTCTGGTCCAATCTGTATTGTCTGGTTCAGAGAGTCCTCACTACTGCATCAGTCAGCAGCCACCTAACTATACAGACATTAGAAGTTACACACTTGTCTCAAACAACACCAAATAGCTGTAGGTAAAATACAGAATTCGGATTTTTCTCACCTTATATTTTTCGTGGGTCTTTAAATCATCTGGTCTGGTCCAATCTGTCTTGTCAGCTTCAGACAGGAGTCCTCACTACTGCATCAGTCAGCAGCCACCTAACTAAACAGACATTAGAAGTTACACACTTGTATCAAATAACACCATATAGCTGTAGGTAAAATGCTGAATTGGGATTTTTCTCACCTGAATTTCCTCTTAGGTCTTTAAATCATCTGGTCTGGTCCAATCTGTCTTGTCAGGTTCAGACAGGAGTCCTCACTACTGCATCAGTCAGCAGCCACCTAACTATACAGACATTAGAAGTTACACACTTGTCTCAAATAACACCGAATAGCTGTAGGTAAAATGCAGAATAGGGATTTTTCTCACCTGATTTTCCTCTTAGGTCTTCAACTTATCTGGTCTGGTCCAATCTGTCTTGTCAGGTTCAGACAGGAGTCCTCACTACTGCATCAGTCAGCAGCCACCTAACTATACAGACATTAGAAGTTACACACATGTCTCAAATAACACCTAATAGCTGTAGGTAAAATGCAGAATTGGGATTTTTCTCACCTGATTTTCCTCTTAGGTCTTTAAATCATCTGGTCTGGTCCAATCTGTCTTGTCAGGTTCAGACAGGAGTCCTCACTACTGCATCAGTCAGCAGCCACCTAACTATATAGACGTAGACATTAGAAGTTACACACTTGTCTCGAATAACACCAAATAGCTGTAGGTAAAATGCAGAATAGGGATTTTCCTCACCTGATTTTCCTCTTAGGTCTTCAAATCACCAGGTCTGGTCCAATCCGTCTTGTCAGGTTCAGATAGGCGTCCTCACTACTGCATCTGTCGGCAGCCACCTAACTATACAGCCATTAGAAGTTACACACTTGTCTCAAATAACAACAAATAGGTGTAGGTAAAATGCAGAATTGGGATTTTTCTCACCTGATATTCCCCTTATGTCTTTAAATCATCTGGTCTAGTCCAATCTGTCTTGTCAGGTTCAGACAGGAGTCCTCACTACTGCATCAGTCAGCAGCCACCTAACTATACAGACATTAGATGTTACATTCTTTCATTCTCGAATACCAAATGCTTGTTGGTCGCCTTGAAGCTTTGCGGACCCTACCTGGTCTTGTTTACTCGAGCTTCTGGCGGGATCACGAAAAATATTTAATTATGCACACAACCACATTCCAACAGGTGTTTTGAACCACGTGTAGATAAAGAAAAAAATTGGTGAATGCAAAATTTTTATCAACGAATATAACGTTAACCTCATAACGCTGAACAACTGACAAAAATTACATTTAAAACTCTACAAGCACATAGCACATTAAGAAATGTTGAAAACGCGGCAACTTGATAATTTTTTTCAAAGCCTGCCTAAAATTAGGAAAGGTGGCTCTCTAATACAGAAAAAGATCATTTCTCACGGAATATAACTTGACATGTTCGTACTATAGTTGCTTGGGAAGAATGTCAGCCAAACGATTTGCTGTTTTACCTGCAACAATACGCGAAGTCGTCTCCATACCACGCTACTCTTCCCCACTGTCTCGCCATTTTGTTGTCTTCTCCAAAATTCGCCAGGTCAGGAAATCCGCTTTTTTTTTAAACAACCCCAGAACGGCAAAAATCCACAGCGAAAACTCCGCAACATTCTGCTACACACTTCGTAAAAATTCTACTGACAAAGACTTCAAAGTACCCCAGCGTTGTAAAAAAAATCAGCCCAGAGTTTGCCCGTCGTACGAAAGCGCCATTTTGAACAGAACATACCAATTTTTTTTTTACACAGCTGTGTAAAACCGCGCCCTGTGCCCCTGTCTAATTAATGTGAAGCAGATAATCTAATTATAACGACCCGTCTCGGTTCTAGGCACTCATATGTTGCGAAGAAGGTTGATTATATGATGTAATTACGAAGACTTCTAATTTCAATTTCAGGGTAAAAAAGATGAAAATGTAGCTACCTACTATCCAGTATGACCCAGTATGTCCAGATCACAAGATATCGAAACCTTAAGTTCTGCTGCAGTACCATTACAAGCCGCCAGTGGGCAAAAATCTATTAGTAACCATTTCTAGCTCTCATAAAAACCTACCCGCCTGACAAATATCAACTTAATTCATCTAAGCCTCCTTGAGTGACACACACACACACGCACGCACGCACGCACGCACGCACACACGACAGACCAAAGCAGATGCTTTACTTCGGTCTTTCGCCTTTGATATCGTTTCGTTTACAAGGAATTTGTACTTTTTTTTTCTACATTATCAGTTGCTGTTGTTAGTCATCCTCCTCAGAAGTGCTTTTTCTAGTAGCAAGGTTGCGAAATGTGGCTTTGCTATGGCTTGGCCATATAGGAGGTGATGATGTAAAGAAAAGACGGTGTAACTTACATGAAGGCATGCATATGGATGTAGACAATTAAACATCGTGCTTCGGTGAATAAAAGGCGTCAGAGTTGGTCATTCATGAAGTGGCCTTTTCTGACATTTAGCGAACAGAAAGATTTGCGTGATTCGCAGCTATACTGTGCGCAGCTGCAGTGTGATTCAATATGATCTCCTTTCATGTTTTGTTTTAATTTTGTTGGAGAAGGTACATAGTATTTTGCGTCTCGGGCTCTTTCCAAATTAACAGCAGCCTGGGTTGGTGTAAGAAGCTGGTGTGTTACGCCGAAAGGCGGTTATACCGGCTATACAGATACAGAAGCTGGTGTGTTACGCCGAAAGGCGGTTATACCGGCTATACAGATACAGAAGCTGGTGTGTTACACCGAAAGGCGGTTATACCGGCTATACAGATACAGATACAGAAGACGCGTTTTTTGTGGTACAGAAACCTGACAAGTGGCACCATGTCGGGGACGGGGAGTCAACAGCAGCCGAAATACTCAAATACAGGAGGTAAGATAGAAATATTTCCCGATTTGTGATGATTTTTACTCCCTGTTCTACCATCAGTGAAAGTTTAAAACGCTAACAGGTTTTTCAGAACAATTTGGAGGTTTGCCGTTTTTGCATTTCTGCTGTCGCGAACATTTTCATGTTGGCCACTTTCCGACCTACAGCCCCGTACATAGTGTTTACTAGTATTTTTTTCAAGGTCCTAAAGTATTTTGGTTTTACATTCAATTAAACTGACTTGGTAGTGACGGTGCGATCACATTCTAATCTGCACCAGACTCCCTGGCAGGCTGATTACATAGTAGAAAGTTTAAATCGATCTAAAAAGGAGCAAAATTGATAATCTCCAAGCAGATTCCTCTCGGTGGCAAAAAGACAGTATCAAATTGGCCAGGCAGTATCCATTAGCCAGAGAAGGTTGCCAGCCACCGACGGGGGTCAGGACAAAAAAAACCGGCCGTATATAAAAAGGTAACGATCATTCCCCCACAACCTCTGCTTGGAGAGTACAAAATTACAGGCAAATTAGACCCTCTATGGCCGAATAACTCCCCTGGCCAGTAACATTCTTTTTTTATTAATAATTTAAGCCGATTTCTTCTATCTATTTAGCCTGTAAAAGAGTCTGGTGGAGACTAGTCACACAGGCTTTGCATGAATCAACCAAAACAAGTCTTTAAAGGCAGCCAATGCAATTTCTAGGCGGCAAAACTGGAAATATTCTGAATAAGGCAATCTGTATGAAATTGACACATACATGTACTATCCCACATTAGCACATTTTAATCAGTATTTCATACTTTACAGGCGCATTTAAAACTGCAGAAACAAGCCCCCAAATTAGTCCTTTATTTTCTGGGTGGAAGGCTAAAAATCAATCCAAGTCCTTTCCATGCAATAACCGTTTTCGTCAGAATTTTAGGCTTTTTGCTCCACGTACATTGGGGGTGTTGATTCGTATGTAGATGATTGACTAGAATATTGTCTTATGAAAAATATGGTTCCCAAGCCCTTAAAACTGTTTTTGATACACGACAGTAGAATTCTATATGCACAACACACGCAGGACTATTCGCAAGAATGTTAACTTCTCGTACGACGATCGTGCAATGAATTTGATCGAGCCGTAATAGAATACTCTCCAAGCAGAGGTTGTGGGGGAATGATCGCTACCCCCACCGTCGGTGGCCGCGGGCCTTCTCTGGATAATGGATACTGCCTGGCCAATTTGATACTGTCTTTTTGCCATTATCCCGAAAGGGATCTGCTTGGAGATTCTACCTAACAGTATTTTTATTCGTCTTTAGGAACATACGATCTAAAATACATTTTGAAATACGTATGGTTTAGTTATTTTACCAAGGACGCTATTTCATAGCCTTACATCAGCTGAAAGGTCACATTATAGTTTTAATAGTCATAGAAAAATATGGCTGACTAATTGGTCTCGTGTTGTTAAGTTTTTTACGACTTGAGATATTTGTCAACATCAGAATGCAAAAAAAGTTAACCGGTGGATTATATTTCAATCCATATGATATCTGATATCGTCTCTGTAAAGTAGATAACCTCCTTAAATTTACACCTAGAATAATTATCATATTAAACAATATACTAGTACTATATTATATGTAAAAGCAAATATATTCTTGTTCAAATATTAATTGGATATTATAGTTGGGTGATACTTGCAAATGTGCAATTCTTGCATTATATTGCGTTTGCTAAGCAATCACTATTATTATTATTATTGTTATTATCATACAATATTAATATTATAACCTTTAAATCCGACATATTTCTGCCTACTTGACTTCAGTTATACTGGTACAATGTTAAACTTCATTCCAACACAAAGGGTACAAAATGATCAAATTGTCAAAGATCACTGTCGCCTTATCAGGATAATTAATGAAGAATCACTTCACTGATGTTGTGATTTACCTACAGGTGCCACACCCGTGCAGTACCCTGAGAATGACTGGAGGGCGCTTGCACACATAGCTGCATCTATACCCAACAATCTGTACGTCACAAGAGCAGGTAAGACATATTTTTATTCATCAAAACATATAGACATAACAAGAACAGTGTGACGCTGCACTCAAGTTAGCAGCTTATATTAACAGCGCCACACTAAAAAAAAGTACAATTAACATTTAAATATACAAAGTTGACATATCTGTGCGCCGTAGTCCCACCACCCCAAGACATTAAAATGTTAAATTAAATGCTAAAGGTAAGAGGTAAGACATTTTATACAATCATGTACACTACATGCTGCTGTGGATTACCCTCACTGCCTTGCTCCTTCTTTCATTCTTATTTAAGTTAGCCTTCATCATATTTTCTACATCTTTTATTCATTTACATTTATGATAGCAACATTATATATGGCCACACCGTCTTAATATTATGGATGACATCCATGCGTTCATTGATTTTCGCCTGTTCTAAAAAGAAAAAAAAAAGATCACGTCCACCGAAGCTCTGGCCTGGCTCTAGGCCTGGGTAGTCCATGGTAGTTAGCGACAATACGGAGCCGGACACCCAGGCTACCGAAGCTCCACGACTCAAGAACTCAGTACATACGTACAGTGCCGATTCATGAATTCAGCAAAAAGCCAACATGTGCCGGCTTGTCGTATACGTCGCTAATAATAATAAAGTACTCACTCAGCCGCAAATTCACAATACCAGCTCTGTATTCCTGTGGTTCAGTTAAAAAAATCTGATGCAACGTTGACAAAACATTAACAACGAAAACCGTTAAAAATAGGTTTCGCGCGCAGGCGCAGTACGTACGGTCTGCAGACGCGCCAACCGGCTGGGGGCGTTCCTATGGCCCAATCAGAATGTTTACGTCAAGCTGCCCTTTTATATAACATGTACCGCTGATGTGACCTATAGTCGTAATGTTTTAATTAATTTCAGCCTCTTTGGTGTTCAAAAACAATCAAAGGATCTCTACATGGTGTCTTTTCTTTGTACCCGAGGATATTTCATGCACTCAATTTGATAAAATAAGAGGACGAACGCCATTTTGTAATAGCATGTGGACTCTATAGCAAAGAGGAAAATGAACTGTATTTTTTGTACAATTTCCCTATTTCATGCACTCAAGCACTGTAGAAAAATGCAACTAGACAAAACCATCCATCGAAAAAAAATCTGTTCTTTTTTATGTCTACAATAACTGAAAAGCGAGGAGAAGTTGAATTTATATAACAATAGTTAGTTTCATTTTGTATTCGTCAACTGTATCTGTTCATCTATTCTATCTTATTGTGACCTGTACTTAGCCCAGTATGGGCCCAGTATGACAAAAAAGATCCATTTATTCATTTAATGATGAAAGCATACCTCTTCCTCTTTCTACCTGGAACGAGGTCGTTCTATAATATTTTAAGAAAACTAACTGCTCATTGGTTTAAATGACGTACATGTAGGTAGAGGTGATGACATTACAATGTATTTTGAGCGTTTTTAGTCGGAGGCCTAATCAATTTTTCACACTGATATTAGGTTTATGTTTAGATACTGTTTTGCGTTAATAATTCTTCACATCAATGTGATTAACGTGGTAACAAGATAGTAAAATTTTTTCTCGTTTTTTTTTTCCGTTTTTCATTATTTAGCAACCTACGATACAGACACTGACATCAAGACGAAATGTTGGAGTCTTTGCAAGAAGCTGTTAAAAATCGCCGGAATTGTGTTGGTTGTGGTCATCGCCATACTGTTGCCTTACTTTGCAGGTCAGGTTATTCTAGCTTGCAACAGCAGTGTTTCTATGTCCTTTTACTTTGAATTCCATGTAACATCTGTGTCCATAATATCACCAGGGTCCATAATATCGCCACCTTGCTCATGAGAAACAATGTGCTTAAAAATATTTTTACTGCAACATACTTTTGGTATGCACTCCTTCACACATCAAATGTACATACATAGGGTATGTTGGAGTAAAATATCTTTAAGCGCACTCAAGGTGGCGATATTATGGACCCTGGTGATATTATGGACACAGATGTTACGGAGGTATTGTTTTGGTTTTTTTTGTGGGATTCTGTGTATGCCTGTCTAAACACAGTAGGTTGACAGCTCGTGGGTGAGTGATGGGAGATTGACAAGCATAATTACTAGTCAAAGGGTCAGACACAGGAAATGAGGTGAACTTGAAGGTCTCAGAATATGGTCGGTCGACCGCCTGAATCTCTCAAAATGTTGCTTGTAGTTACTTGCCTCCCTGCTGAGCTCGGGTTTCAGACGTCTTACACTAATTATGAGAAAAATGTCCTTTATAATTGTATACAGACAAGTTTTCGAAATCTAGATAGAAAAGACAAATTCTTATTCATTATGGGATGAGACAAAATGTGTCTTACAAGCTGCATACGTTCATACGTCTACAAATGTCTTAAGAAGTGAGAAGAAACTGAAACTACATAGTAGTCGAATCAGTAGGGAGTAGTACACATTAGTATGTGTAGTGAGATACTTTAAACATGACCTGAACTTAGCTTGTAAGAGCATAAATGTACAGTAAATGCATTTCATCATCATTAAATGACTTGACCTCTCGTCCAAAACCCTCTATTTACGGCTTGCAGGCAATTAATTAAATCTTTCTTGCATTCAAGTTAAAGTCACCGCTCTGTCTGGAGAGGTGGAGAAGCTTGGTGCAAAGACTGGAAAACGTTTTACTGACCTGGAAAGTAAGTACCAATCTCATGCATAGAGCTGTAATGATTATATTCTATATGTTTTCAAGCATATTTAACATGTGTTAGACGTAAGTATAATGATTATAGCTTTAATGCTCCAACTATGTGTCTTCTAGCACGTTGGGTGGTTATTCATTCTTACTATTTTTTAAATGAAAAACTATATTGGCAATGTTGCCTTTCTTTTAGATATCATATCAATAATTCCGAAATATCATATCCCAAAGGTATGGTAAAAACTTTTGCTGAAGAGATGGGTAAATTGAACAGGATCAATGAACACCTTGTGGCCAAGCTGGAAGGTACGACTAGTATGTTTTGCTATTAAAGACTACAATCTTTTGATATCTATTTTTTTTTACAATTTAAGAGCAATGAAAATTGTTGTGGCTACCTAGCTTGGCTTTATTTAGGTATTACTTGGTGCTACTCCTTTCCAAATTCTATACTTTGCAGATGACAAAAATCTTTTGTGAGCTTAAAGTAAGTTCTCAAATCACATTTTTGTGTCCTGTCAGCCAGAAATTACAGACCAGTGTCGACCTTTTGCAGATGAAAAGCGATCGGAGACGCCAGCTGGACATCGATGTGCCGGGCCTCCGGGACCTCCCGGACCCCCAGGAGTAAAGGGGGACACCGGGCCGGCTGGTCCTGCCTCCTCCGGGCCTCCAGGTCCGCCTGGCCCGCCAGGAGAGAAGGGACCCATGGGGCCGGCTGGCCCTGCCTCTGCAGGCCCCCCTGGGCAACCTGGCCCGCCCGGAAAGATGGGACCCATGGGACCGGTTGGCCCTTCAGGAAAGA